GACCCAGGACAGGGAAGACAGGATGAGGGGGGGAGGCTGGCTGACTGCCAGGGCCCATAGAGGGTGCAAGCAGCTGATGAGAGATGAGAACTGAATTCTGCAGGGAAACCGGGGGGAAGTCACACTGGAAGGATGGAAGGTGAAGACTGATCCCAGTTCCTCCATCCTAAAAGCCCAGCTCTTGGTCCAGGTCAGCGTCCCCGGTGGATGCAGCCATGGCATCCTGGCCATGCCTAGGATTCGATACCCGCTCAGTGTTGCCCGTTGGCTTTGGCCCTGCCCTCCTCCTTCCCTATTCCCCGGTCCGGAGACAGCAGCTGCTGCTTCACGGGGACATCCGCGGGGCATCAGTGTCACGGCAGCCTAAGATTTCTATTGCAATCCTGACCCCAGCCCCACCTGACATGGCCTAGTCTTCAAGGGCAGGCCCCGGGTGTTAGCCCACTGATGTGGTCCCTGGGGGGAGGGGGGTCCCAACCTACATCCCCACCCATACATCTCTTCACCAGCCTGCACAGGGTCTCTAACCCTGCCACCTTGTCCTCCAGGCTAAGGCACTGGTTGGTGATAAACTGTATCAAGGATCCTAAAGGGCAGGCTCCCAAGGACCTAACCCAGAAGCGACCAGGTTCCTCTGGGCCCTTCATGGCGTGGCCTCTCACCGAGTCCCTCCAAACTGGGAAGAAGTGGCTCATGAGCAGCCCGAAGGCACCCCCTGGGCCGACGACACTGGACCAGGCCTCCACCCCTTACACCCGGACTGGCTGGGGCTCTCCCGCCCCACCCTGTCCCTGCCTGTCCCACTACATACAAGACTTCCAGGAAGAATGCAGCTGCCCAAGTGCCGGAGCAATTCTGGGGTCCCCTACCCTGAGCCCCCTCCACGGGCTCCTCTGCCTTGGCCTCTGGGGCCTCGTCCCCCTCGGGCCCTGGATTCGGTTCCTCCGAGCTCTGCTGGGCCCCCTCGTCCCCAGGGCTTGGGGCTCCTGCTGCTTCCTGGGGCTCCCCCGCTTCCTCGGAGGTGTCCCCTGCTTCCTCTGAGCTAGCCCCAGAGCCGCTGTCCTCTTCTGATTCTTCTTGGGATGGAACTCCTCCTTCCTCGCCTCTGCTGAGGCCACCACCCTCTTCCTCAGAGGACGCAGCTTCCAGATCCTCCTGCAACATCCCTGGCGCCTGGCCCTCCAAGGGGCGGTCCTCCTGGGTGCCCCCTGTCTCTACAGCTGGGCCGGGCTCCCCCTGGTCCTCAGGCCCCTCCCTGGCTTTTGTGTCCACGTCCATGACTCCATCTGGCCCTTCTGGCCCCTGATCAGGCCCTGGGATGCCCTCGCCTGCTGTCTCTACTGCCACAGGAAAGGCCCCTGTGCCTTCAGGCTCTGCAGTGCCCGCAGCTGCTCCCTGCGGAGGGCTGTCCCCTAGGACCTCCTTGGCTTCCTCAGTGACCACGCCATTCCCAGCCTGTCCTTCCGCCTCCTCTGGTGAGCCCTCTCTGGCACTGAGCTCTGGCCTCCCTTCTTCCCCAGTCCCCTCTTCCCCTTCTGGAGGGAGGGCGCTTGCTCCTGGTAGCTCCACAGGGTCCCCGGGGGGAGCTGAGGCTGAGGCATTGGAAAGGCTGGCGTCAGGGTCAGAGCCTGGGCTGGGGGCAGTGGTGGAGGCCCCTGTGGCAGTCTTCTCCGAGCTCTCAGCCTCCCTGCCATCTGGGGAGTGAAGGAGCAGGTTCTTCTCTTGAGGGGCCGCCTCTGCATAAAGCGCCCTTTCCTTCTCCTCTAGACTTGCATCTCCAGCAGAGAAATGATTCTCCAACAAATTGCCAACATCTTCTGTGCCACCCGAAGCAGAAACTTGCAGTTCTAAATGATTAGAACACGATTGGTCAGTTTCACAGGGTTGGCACTCACTTTACTTCTCAAAAGAGTCTAACTCAACCTAGCTCCTGTCTTCCGGGAGTGAGGTGTGGACCTGGTATCGGTGGCATCTCCCTCCCAGGTCTTCACAACTGCCCTGGGCAGCAAGCAGGGCGGGTGTTACTCTGCCCCCCTCCCAAGACATAGAGGCCGTGGCTGGGGGAGTTACAGACCCCACTGTCTGTCACTGTGGGACTGAGCGGCTGACACCCGTTCCCCAGCTCCTCCCCTGACCCTGACAGCCTCTCCTGGTGACTGTGTAGGGATGGAAACTGGGTGAGCCCTTCCAGTCCTTCCTCAACCTTGCCGCAGGCACGAAGGCACGTGTAGCCTGGCTCACCAGGAGATCTTTCCAAGATAGGACAGATGCCCTGTCAGTTCCTAGAGTCATTAACTAGCGTGCTTTTTATACTGCTATCAGCAAAGGAGTGCAAACAGGTGTGTGCAGGCCAGATAATCTTAGGTTACACGGCAGAGTACTTAGGGGATTACTTGTGGCTCTCAGCCTTATTAAGTCACACATCCAACTCTGTCCCCTTAAGGGCAGGCATTTGCTGGCCTTGCTACCTTAGATTAAAGAGGACGTGGTCAGAGGAGAGAACGATATCCAAAACTAGAAGGGCCAGGGCTTCCCGGTGGCCTTAGCCAACCTCTTCTGAGGGTATCCCCTTCTAAAGCTGATAGCTTTACCAGGAAGCTGAAGGCACAGGGGAAACCCAGCAGGAGAGAACAAAGTAGGGGCTGAGTCTGTGCTGCTAAGACCTCTGTCAAGGGACACGTTTAATTTATGTGGAAAATGGGGTCAGAAGTGAAGGTCGAGCCTATTCCTTCTGCCCCTCCCAACCAGACTGGACCTGTTTAAGGAGAAGGCCTGCGGTAGGGGGACCCTGCTGGCTCGTGGGGACGAGGGACCATGGGGCCCTGCCCTGGGGCAGCTGAGACAGCCCCCGGGCTCCCTTGACTCACAAGGTTCTTTCTGAGGAAGCAGCCCCTCTCCTCTGCTGAGTACAGACACCCCCCTCTCTTGGGCCACAGCCTGGTCTTCCCATCTTTGCCTCAACAAAGAAAAGCCACTTTTGGGGGTACCTCTTCTGCCTGGGCGTACGCACACAGTTTGTGCCCTGAAAGCTGGGGAAGCCTCCAGGGACCAAGAACAAATATTTTCTCATTAGTCCCCACAGATGCAACCTATGCTGCTATCAAATTCAGAAGAATGGGAAGTTTGGGCACCTTTTATTATAAAGGAGCCCCATATATGGATACAACACTTCCCCAAGCACTTTCACATATATGGCCGCATCCAAACCTCCCGCATCACTGTCAGCCACATTTCAGAGCCGAAGGTCCAGAGAAAGTCTTTGACTCGCCCAAGACACCAGGTGTCTGGCTAGTGGGTGACTGGAACCCAGAACTGCTGCTCCTTGCCCAGGCCTTGTATGCCACGGTGTGTAGGGAAGCACAGGGCTACCCCTTCCCACGGGTATCTCGCCCTTCCCTGCCTGCACCTTCTCTCCTGGCTCACACTCCAGACCCTTCCTGGCTCCTGGGTTGCAGGAAGCAAGGTTTAATCCTCCCTGTGTTCCCAAGGCTGGGACCCTGCCTGACCCAGGGAAAATGCTATGAAGAGGTGAGATTTAGGCACAAGAAGAATTCATCCCTTAGTGAGGGACCTGAAGATTACTCATTAAAATTTTCCTTCATTACCACATGAAAACCTATATATCCTGATTCCTTTACCTGCATATCTATCCCCGCACCACCACCCTCTATGGCAGGAACTTGGTTTAACCCAAGGAGACTGAAAGTCTCTGAGCAGCAAGATATATATCAATGAGATACATTTGTATAACTATTCAATGTGCCAGGCAATGCTTAAGCACTTATTTATTTTATTATTATTATTATTTAATCCTCACCTGAGGATATTTTTCTATTGATTTTTAGAGAGAGGGAAAGAAAGAGAGAAATATGGATGTGAGAGAAACACATCGATTGGTTGCCAACCACATGAGCCCCGACCAGGGCCCGGGCCAGGGAGGAACCTGCAACCGAGGCACGTGCCCTTGACTGGAATCAAACCCAAGACCTTTCAGTCTGCAGGCCGATGCTCTATCCACTGAGCAAAACTGGCTAGGACAATGCTTAAGCACTTTATTTTTTTTAAAATATATTTTATTGATTTTTTACAGAGAGGAAGAGAGAGGGATAGAGAGTCAGAAACATCGATGAGAGAGAAACATCGATCAGCTGCCTCCTGCACACCCCCCACTGGGGATGTGCCCGCAACC